GAAAAATTTTGACGTAGTGCTAAAAATTTTAAATGACTAATCGCCAAGGACAAAAACTGCGCGCAGGTATCTATATTCACCGAATCGCGTTAATCGATAAACTCGTTCATATCCTCGCTCACGTCATGATTTCTTCCAATCGCCGTTCAATCTGCGAATGGTATAATTGGTACGGGTGAGTCAAGTTGCATGCTAGTAAGGTCTTACAATAGAGTGGAGATGCGCGTAGCGCAGTGGTCAAAGGTGCTTTGCAATACACAGGATTGATCTTGGGTCGATCATGCGCCCGCAATTTATTCACCTCTATAATAATGAAGAAGTCAAATGTGCGGTGTATCCACGTGAGCAGATCAACGCCGAGCTTTTTATGGCTTACTTCATTCCACTTATTTTATTTTATTGTCCAACATAAAGTTGACGAGACCTAACTATGCTCATTTTTATGTGAGATACAAGCAAAGCGATGCTGAGACATTTCCAAAACTCCTGATCGCAAATGTCTGTGGTGGGGAACGAACACGCTATTACCCTTTCCGGGGGCGAACTCGTTCACCACGACAACATTCTGGTCCTTCGTTTCCCCTTTCCCTCCGCTGCTTTTCTATCTATCAGCGGCATCAGCGATTAGCCGTCAACGGGATTGATCAGGGGAGCACAAATCAGCACTGAATCCAGTCAATTTGAGGCTGCAGTCGAAATCACAATATTAATTTCTTATTTACTGACTGCTACAATTTTTCACGGTTCGTATTGTCAGATACAACCGCAATGAGGCTGAGATATTTGAAAATCTCCAGGCCACAGGTGTCGACGGTGGGGATCGAACGTGCTAATATCCACTACATTTTCCCTAATATGGAATTGATAACGAAAAAGTTCATTGCCATTTTTTCCCGCTCCACAACCCTCGCTCGACTCGATCACCGAAATCTCTTGTAGTGAAAAACCTGAAGACCTCTGAAGATTCAGTTAAGATGGAAAGCATGGGGAGAGTCAAGGCCCTAGCACCTGATAATATCTTCGCGGATCGTCTTAAAGCTGAAGGCTACAAATTACGTGCATTTTTCGCACCCCACATGATATCTTACCTTTAGAAGGAGAAAATGGCAGACCAGTGGAAGACTTCGCCCACCGTCGTCCTACTCAAGAGAAGTTATCGAAGAGAATTTCATAGCTGTGGTCCGATGTGTTTATTGATTTACTATGCAAGCTATTTAAGAGGGCCATCCTTCTGAGCATATCGAGAAACTTGAATGAGGCACAAACAGTTTAACAAACAGGATTCCGACAGGAACTTCGCTATATTGACCACTTCAAAACTGTGTCATGGGTCATATAAGACTGTCTGTCTGTGTCTGTCTGGGATGCCATTTGCTTCTAGTACTGATTTTCATCCGCTAAGAAAAAGAGTGACTGCTTCGAAACGAATGCAACTCCAGCAGCGCTTGTCGACCATGGAGTAGATCCCTCCTATGTGCTAATAATAGCTGACCGTGATCGGAACTACTGCGAAATACACATGTTTTTCATCACGTCGTCACCATATCTGTATGAAAACGAGTTCGAAAAGAAGACACAATATCGCTATAGGTGCTAGCTTTGGTACTGCAATGGGTAATGAAGTCTCTCGATTGGAACATGAAGGGCATACGTATTAATGGGAAATTTCTGTCAAAACTTCGTTTCGCGGATGACATCGCCATCTTTTCGAGGGCTACCAGTGAAGCAGAAACGATAGTGAGTGAACTCATTGAAGCGGGTGTAAAGGTAAGACTATGCATAAATAGATGTATTTAATTATTCGCATTATTAAAATGGTGCATTTAATTCTCCGATTCCATTGTTGTTGTGAAGTGTCCATCGTTAGTAGTTCTTTTGTCTTGCCTGACTATTTTATTTACTGCCTAATCCCGTTGAGGAGTGATTGCTGATGGCAAAAAGGTTGATAGAACTAGCTGAGAGACAGGCGAAAATGAGGACCCGCATGGTGTGGTGGTGAACGCGTTACTCCCCGGAAAGGTCAATAGCGCGTTCGTTCCTCACCCCAGACACCTTCGTTCCGGAGTTTTGCAGATATGCAAATATCTCAGCATTATAGTAGTTATATTTCGTAAATACCCTGCCGTTAAAAAAAAAGGCAGTAAATAAAAAGGTTAAGATGGTGATATGACTGTTGATAACTAAGGAGAAACAAGGGAAAATCGTAGCAGTCATGTTGAAGATCTCCAGGATTCGTGGTTGGTTGCTGTTTGAGGATGCTCTTTATGAATGCTGTTTGAATGCTTGTCGAGTTACCACGTCTTTATCACATCCCAGGCGAAGCTTCCCAAACACTCGTGGTACCACTTCATCAACCCAAGGAGAATAACGACTTAATTGGTACGGAGCAGGATCGAACGATGCAGTCGATCGTATTGAACGGTATTATTACCAGGGCTCTGCTCACGCTGTTCTAAATATTTCTAATAGTTAATTCATGTTTTTGTCCTGAACTACACGTTTTATAAACAAGCCAGTACCTAACTCGTGCCTATGGAGCTATATTATCAACCTACCGTTTAGATCTTGAAATTCTGGTCAACGTCGCTAGCACCCCTTATTGTAGTCCGATTTTCAGAAAGAGTGATGTGCAAATATGTTCTGGTTCATCTATGGTGCGCATGACATCTGTACTGTTCATTCAACATGTCGTGAGTATGGTGAGGCGGCATAGACGAATATTCCAGTAAAACTGTATATACCAGAAACAAATGCAAGAGATACGGGAAGAGAATGATCTAACACAAGAGCCATTTGTTGCTCAATGAACACCATTTAAACCCGAACATTGATTAGTCAGGCCACTTATCACAGAAGCTTATAACATTGTCACTCGGTTATACTTTTTTGGCTACCAACATGTGATATAGCTTATGCGACTTTGCAAACTCTTTTATGCTTTTTGAAATGATTCAAAGGATCGGTAGGCTTCCAATAAACCTCAACATTAGTAATAAATTTATATCCTATGAGCTATCCTTGCTAAGATAAAGCAAGCTTGTTATCAGTTTTCGCTTACTTTATCAAGGACTGTTCGTAAGATCTAAATAAGTTAAACATTAAATGTCGATATTGGTTGAAAGTCGGTCTTTCAAATTACAATATAACCGCAATTTCCTTCTATTGCTTAGGAACACTATTGTGCAAGGTATTGCATTATTGTTAGCCTTTTCCTTAATCTTTATGTTAATTTCGTTTGCTTACTTCTTCATTACTTATATTTTTTATCTGCATTTTTTAGCATCGCTATCTCCTTGTTGTTGCATTAATATCATCACACATGAAAATCAGTTACCCAACTTTGAAATGAAGTGTAGATTTAGTCGGAAGGATTTTTCCGCCAAATTTACTAACGTTTTTATATAGTAATGGAGCTAATGGTTCTTAGCTTGCATTATTACTTAGTTCAGAGGATGTTTTCGTCTCTATTATACTGTATTATACTGTGCGTCCACTACTTTCTTCTTACCCATGAAATTTGTTCCTTACCCTGCCGAAGTCACCTGCTGTGCATGCTCTGCTTAGTTTTGAATTACTGGTGTAGACATTTTAATGTGAATACCCTCGCCAGTGATCTTTCATGATTGCCTCTTAATTTTGCGTGAAAGTGGAAAATCAAGTCGCTTGAATATAGTGTTTGTCGAAGGATTCAAATATGCTGAAATGTTCGAATAAGCCCTTTGTAGCAACCTCGTGTAAGGTTAATAATTTAATAAAGCATTGATCACTTATGTAAACGGCCTCTCTGTTCAATATGGCGTCTATTTGAAAGTTTGATCTTCATTGACACCTTAACCTTCTTTCCACCAAATAATAAAAATATTCTAATATAAAATACTTCCAGGCTCTGAGGAAGGCGAAGTCACCGAAACGTCAAACATCGAACAACAAAATCAAAAACAACAACAACGACAACGAAGATCTGTACCAACCTCGCATCAGCTTAAGAAGATCAGTTTATAAGACCACATAAATAAACTTATGTAAATGTTTTATGACAGTAGATTTAAAAATATTGCTATGTTAAACGCCAGTTGATTAAATAGGTACTGCAGGAAGATGCATTACCACAACCGAAACAGCCAAAAATCAGTGGTAATAGACCTCCACAGTCTGATATGAAAAAGTATTATTGCGTGAGTTCTTCATCTGAGCCGTGCAACACTACACCGAATAATACTCGATACGAGGAAGAAGAGTTAAATCGCATAGATGAACGGCTGTGAACAATCGACTCGAACTGTCGCAACATTGAAGAAGCTGAAAACTTACACAAATGAAAGTTTTGTAACAATCTCGTACTACTTACCCATCTGGTTATTCGTTCTAAAGTTAGAAAAATGGTATTGCGTACCACACAATTTTCGGAAAATCAGGTACTTTCTAGAAGGTTGCTAGTAGGTAACCTAGTAGAAACTTTAGTAACTTAATGTCGGTCGGATTTTAACCTATATGTTTAAAGTGACCACAGATCTCCCTCATATGAGCGATCTCGAGCCGTCAGTCGCGAGACCACGTGGCGCGTTTCCAGGTGGCAGATAGAGCTTAATCACGGACTAAAAGCGACCTTGCTTCCCTGAGACGAAGGTGGATCCAAAGTATGGAATCCCTTCTCCCGCTGCGCTGATTTGGCATATACTTTCTGTATTTGCCAGGCTCATTAATGCATGCGTGTGTGGGTGCGCTCTTGCTTATGCGGATTGTGTTTTGCGAGTCAATTCGGCGAAAGTCTGCAATCAACTGACAGGGAAGTATATGGGAGGCGGTTAGGAGTCGCCTCCAACAAATAAGCTCCAAGTCCACTCTGAGAGAGCCTGGCTAGCTACCCGTGAGTATACCCGGCCCCCACGTTCAGAGCCCAGGCAGCTAAACGTGGGTATCAAAGAGCAAAACGCAGTTGAAGAAATAGGCCTCATTCCCCTAACCCCGAAAGAGCCCTTAATTTCGCAGCGTTGGGTAGGATGAGTACGGAAACGCTGCTAAAATCTCAGGGCCAATGGAAGCTGCATGGATTTCAAAGAGCTATGGTGACGATCTGTACCTACAATGCACATACACTTGTATCCGAGTCCTCGAGAGAAAACTTGCTCATGCAAGCAAGAGGAATAAAGTGCAACGCTATCGGCCTGGCCGAAACGAGAAGACGCCAGCCTTTCAATGCCGTCTATGGCACCGGAGAAGAACTGTTCCTTGGAACATGTCACAGTAAAGGAGTCGGCGGCGCCGGCGTTGTCGTCAACACGAGTTTGTCCGTGAGCATAGATTCATTCGAACAACTTACAACCTGAATCGGACGTTTGCGATTAGAAAGATATAGACCAATACCGGCTTTGACATTCTTCGTCGTTTACGCGCCGACATCAAGCTATGACGAAAAAGAAGTTGAGGCGTTTTATATGGACTTGGAGGAGTTTTGCAGAGAAGACAATACATTCTTCAAGATCGTCATTAGAGATTTCAACGCCAAGATTGGATCAAGAAAAAAGTCTGAAGAACGTCACATTGGGACCCACGGATTAGAATGGAACGAACAGAATGAGCGGCTATCTGAGTCTATCATGCCGCCTAAGACCATCCATGGTTAGTTGTAATTCCGGAAGCCCCACCCTCAACGCTGGACGTGGTAGTCTCACAATGGAGAGTACCATAACGAAATAGACCACATCATAGTAAATAGAAGGTTTTGCTTAACTGATGTCGCTGTTGCCCCAAAATTCTAAACGGGATCAGACCATCGCCTCCTTCGTGCAAGAATCTATTTCTCGCGGAACGGAGAAAAAGCCACTAAATTCAAAAACCGAAGTCCCAGAACCACCATAAACTGGCATCTATTCAATTCATTATTTGGCTGTTGGAAAGATGCCGTTGTCGATATCATCGACGAAAAATACGATCGGCTCATTCAACATTTTCAGGCTAGCGCTGTGAAAGCTGAGAGTTCGAAAGTGAGCAAGAGACGTCTGTCTCCAAAAACACTCGAGCTGATACGCCAGCTTGAAATCGCACGAGCTGTAGGCAGGGGCAAAGTAACATCCAAACTTGCAAAACAACGAAGACAAGCGGTGAAAGAAGTTCTTATAAACAGAAAAAAAAGCATTGGCAAAGAACACTGAAGCCTCGTCAATTACAAGACCAAAATGATTGCTATCCGGCGCCCAGACGGAACATACAGCGTCCAGAAAGGCAATGGAGAAAACCATGCACGAATACTACTCAGATCTCTTCGATAGCCGCGTCCGCCTTCCGTCGTATGAAATAAAGGAGAATGGATATGTCGTACGACCGGTTCTCCTTTCCGGAAACCGACAAGCCATTTTGTCGGTGAAAAATCGAACAACACCTCGTGCGAAGACGATAAGATCAGAACACCTGAGGAACCTTCCACCAGTCCTCGTAAACAAACTGGCTCTGCTCTTCACACGTTACCTGTCTGAATGTCTACTCAGTGGAAGACCAGCAAGAGCGTGTTATTGTTCGAGAAAGTTGATCGACGCGATATCGGCAACTATCGCCCAAGCTGCTTGAGGCCTGTCCTCTACTAACTTTTCACTCGATTTTCACTCGAGTCATCCTAAACAGGATTGTCAGAACACTGGACTAAGGACAGCCATGTGAGCAAGCAGGGTTTCGAAAAGGATTTGGTACGATGGGCTACATCCACACGATAACAAGGCTCATTGACCTATCGCCAGAGTACAAAAGACCGATCTGTGTCGCTTTCATCGATTTAAAGAAGCCCTTTGCCTCAATTAAGATAGAGGCAGTCATGGAAACCCTTGATAGTCAAGGAGTCTCTACTCAATATATAAAGATTCTGCGTGAGCTGTACAAAAATTTCACAGCCAAGATATCACCATTCTACAACGATATTAACATTGACGTGAAAAGAGGGGTCAGGCAAGGCGATATCATCTCTCCAAAATTATTCACCGCCACCCTCGAGAACGTCATGCGAGCATTGGAATGGGATAATATGGGAGTGAAAATCGATAGTCGGCGGTTACACCATCTTCGCTTTGCTGGTTACGTCATCCTTATAACATCAAACATTAGCCAAGCGGAACATATGCTTGCCGACTTTGATAAAACCTGTGGAAAGATTGGTCTTCGACTAAATCTCAGAAAAACCGTGTTCATAATGAACGGATTGGCTTCCTATGTCCCATTTACGTTCAACGTAACGAATATCTCCGAATGCTCCAGTTATGTCTATTTAGGTCGGGAAATCAACACGTTGAACGGCTTAGCTCCAGAGTTGAGCAGAAGGAAACAAGCGGCTTGGGCGCTTTCAAGAGCATCGACGATGTAGTGAAGAGTGCAAAGAACACCGGACTCCGTGCCCACTTTTTCGACTGAACGATACTTTCTGATTTAACGTGTACGTCAGAAACCTAGTGATGAAAGATATCGTTATCGAATGCGCAATCGAAAAGAGGATGCTAGGAGTATCCCGTTTCACACAAGTAAGGCAAGGGATCCGAAGCTCCGACCTGCGTCAACGGTCAAAAATCAAAGATGCCGTTCTGTACGCTAAGCAGTCGAATATATGATGGGCCGGGCACGTAATGCGTATTAACGAGAACCGATGGACAAGAGCCGTTAGTGAATGGATTCCTCGGGATGTTTAACGCACTGCAGGAAGGCCATCGACTCAATAGTCAGAGTTCTTCACGAAAAGCCTTAAAAAAAGATATGATGCTCGAGGAGTTCCTAGAGCAATCAGAACCCACAAGGCTACTCTTGCACGAGACAGGAAGAAATGGAAGATTTATTGGCACGCTCGAGTCATTCGGCGACTAATGGGACTACAGGTGATACAGATGACGTTTAAAGTGTCGTGTAATAATAAGATGCGCTTGTGGCATAGTGGTCGGAAGCGTCCTGCAATACACATAAGGCCAGCCCTTACGCCTCTGGCCCACAATCCTTCCATCATTCAGGGTCGGCAAATTGGTACCAGAGTTGTTTGAAAGGATAGAAGCACTGGCTGGATACATCGGTAGACCACCGCGAGTCATTGTAAGGACGAGGTATGCATTCAGTCACCTCCAAACAGTGATTAATGAAGTCGAAACCATGACGCATCCCTCAGGGATTGATCAACGCTGAGAGCTTTTAGCTTTGTTTTTAAGAATAAACTGTGTATTCGTGGTAGCTGTGATTCGGTTCGATGGATTGAGCTACAAATACAATGAAAGTAAGTACCTTATCTTATTGAGGTGCTTTTTCATTTTTTAATCATAGACTTTAGGTTACTCTGGTGAAACTTGTTCTCCTATTTCCGGGCGCATAAACTTCATCGCCATCAAATGGTCAAGGACGTTGTACGCCTGTGTGGAATGCAACCATGGACACGTGTGGCAACTAAAATCATTCGTTAATGAATAAATGTTAAGTAAATGAGTAATTGAATCTATAAATGATTGAACGAATAAGTTTGTCAGCTTAAGTAATCGTTCTGTTTCAGAAGTCGGTTGTAAATACGACTATATTTTATATTTTATTCCTCCCACAATTGAAACGTACTATCCTTTTCTCCATATGTAAATTACACGTCTCAAACAAAATTTACATCTATACATATACATATTCAGTTCCGACCAACGTTGAATTTTTCTCCCAGTTATTTTAGGCAGGGTGTGCCTGGGTGCAGGAATATCATATATTTCATCATGCAACCGGATCACGTGTTCTGAGAAGAAGTTCGACATTTCCAGCGGAAAGCAGCAGGCTTTTTTCGGTGGGTGCGGTTTGGTCACCTCTTCTAGTGACGGATAAGGAACTTCATGACAAGGATTTTTCGAAGTTTCAGACAGGAAGACGTTGCGAAAGCGATAACGCAACGGTTAAGCGGTGAATGTGCTAAGACTTCTACCAATTTTTCGTTTAGGTGGGCTTTTCGGGTTTTAAGGTAATAATATTCAAATAAGTTTTGTTACCTGTGAAACAAATGCAATAAATACTATGATCCTTGGACGAACCGTCTTCACTGGTTGTGCGGGCCGCAGCATACTTTCCATTGCTTCGGAGTTTTGCTGGCTTAGCCTTTGTTTCCTGGGTCTCAAGGTGAGCCTAGCAAAAGTCTGCCTAGGTCATCACTACCATAGGCGGTCGCCGCCCTTATGGATCAGAGGGATGTTTGCCAGCATGCGACTAGTTTGATATCAAGACGGTGGTGGATCCTGGTAGTGGTTGAATCGTTGTTGGGCTTCCTGACGCAAACGCCGGATTCCTTCTCAGCTTTGGAGACCCTGCAGAGGGGACGAATACCCCTGCTGTACATTGCATCCCGACACCCAGGAACACATCCTAGTCACGATGAGGCGGTAAGCTGTTGCGAGGAATGCAATGAATGCCGTGGTAAAACGATAGCTGTAAAGCTACTGTTACTACGTGATCATTAGCATAGTATCGCTTTTGAGGCTTACGCGTCATGACTCTGAACTATAAATTAACTTTTTCTCATAATGGTCAAGCTTCCTTCTTCGAGTAAGCGAATACTACAGACTTGAGGTTTGCAGACATTATTTCAGTTTTAAATTAATTTAAGAGTCATCTCTCTTATCATTTTGTCCTCTGTTGTCAAAATGATTTTTATTCTCAAAATCACTTTGATTGTGAAAGATTTTTGGATATGCCATTATATCGAAGTTCTGTGCTTCAATGACCTGACAATGACCATTCAATTCACAGCTTTTATCACACTTCTTGGAAATCTGCTTTCAATAGCCCATCACTGCGTTCGTCACTTTCCATAGTAAGCTATGCTACCGATCTGCTTCGTGTAGGTTTTGACATCACTACTTCAGAACTTTAGAAGAACTCCGCCCAAAATCGAAAATTATTCGGGAAAGATTTCCAAACAATATTGGAGCTGTTCCAGCTCTTTTTTTCGGAATTTCCTTATCATAACCACAAATCGTTCATTCACCACGCCATGATCACAGAAGACGTGAAGTGCCAGCGAAAGGCGAGTTGATCTCCATCATATATAGATTTGTCAGCGAAAATGAGTAGGAAGTAAATGAAAAACACTGAGCAGGTTGAGTTGTGTTTGCTTACTCCCAATGAAGGCGGTGAAGGCAATACATCGGACCATGTAGGCGAAGATTTCTGATGATTATCTTTTAAACTGCCCGTCATTTAACCTCAATGTTAATAATCAATACTTTCTACAATTATCAAGCTAACAAGAGGTTGATAAAAAAATTTATTAGGCTAACGTTCTGACTTCTTCGTCGACCTCAGAGCCGATGATCCGAGTCTATGGTCCACACTCGTTCTTACTCTCGATGTGGTGTCTTCGTCGTGGAATCCAGTCTGATATTCTACACAGCAGCACCTTTTGAACGAGGCATCCTCACCCTGCAGCGCCCTTTTATATAGGACGTTTGTTGTTGATACGATTATCAGCTGATAATAATTTGTTTTTTAAACAATTTTTTCTGAGGAAGGCGAAGACATCGAAACGTTCTCCAAATAAATCTTTTGAAAAAATAAATAAATCTAAATAAAAATAAAAAATAAAGAACTATAAACTAGATAAAATGAACCATGATAATAAAATAAAAAATAAACAATATAATAATAATAAGCAAAATAATAGTGATAAAATAAAAATAGATAAAAACAAAAAATTAAAAATTAAATAAAATAAATCTAAATAAAATCAAAGTGGAAGAATTGCACTTGCCTGCTTAAATTTCGGCGTCATTTGGAAATTTTGATGGAAACAGTGTTACTGAACATGTACATGTGCTACAAATACTTAATCCATACAGTATTTCTAAAATCTTGACAGTACTGTAGTGCTCTGAACGAATAGTTAGACAGGCTATAGTGAAAAAGAAGTGCTCATTAGTAAAAATGTTGTTGCTTGTTGTCGTTGCCCGCCGTCTGTTGATCCTTACTGTTTTCTGTTGTTGTCTATTGTTGTCCTTTGATATTGGACGCTATCACATGGGATACAATGAGCCTTGTACCTCGAGTTTGTTTTTTGCTGTAGTTCAAATCCGTTTAAGGAAATATGTATGGTTGATTATTACAACTACAGCAACATAAACCAGTTAACAACCCACTGCTGCTGCCTGAAAATGCAGGAACTTCGAGTCATTCTGGACATCCTGGACATCTGTCCTCAATGATTCTCAATGAGTCCATCTTATCATGGTGAAAAGCTGTCTTTAGGGATGGCAACTCAACATCTAATTGTAAAAAAGGTGATATATATACCTTCTCTTCACCACCGACAATCTTTGCAGTACATACTCTCTTCAATAGCAATATGCTGCAAAATATATTCTTCCGAAAAATTGTTTTTGAAAGTTATTTTGTGAAGAGAAAAGCTTTTCACGGGATGCCTCTGATATAACATCTGTATTGGATAAGCTGTTAGATGAGTATCTAAAGCGCAACACAAGAAGCTGTTTGCAGTAACACTCCTGAGAAGGAATGCATTGGGTGCAATGCGGAATGCCTAACCAGCTTGTTGTCGTCTTACCTGCATTACCAACAGCGCATCAGAGGCACTGAATGTTAAAGAACAACTTCAGTATATCAATAATACATAACCACGAATACTGCGTCTGAGATTAACCGACTTTCAGCCATTTAAAAGAGAAGTGGGCTGGAAAGCTCAGGAGAGGATAGCGCGAATGATTTCACAACAGATGCCAAAACTCATAAAGTGTGTGAAATGGGTAGAGTTCATTACACGTGGTGTGCTTCTTTTTAGCTCAGCATCTTTACAAACAGGTAAGCACTTACATACAAACGTATTGTAGAGCGTTTTCTAGAAACCTGCAAAGCAAGTCTATGACCTGGCGGTTAGGAAGCTATATTTAGCAAGTGCAAGGTAGCTTAATGAGGCCATGGGTGATATGTAAGGAATATCTTCTATCTTATGTAGAATGTTCTCTAAAATTCCAGTAGAGCGTACCTGCGAAAATTGTCTTTTTGAACATGCATTTTATAATAGCCATTTTTGTCTGCTGTAGTTACATATCACAGCAATGATGCAGAGAGGATGACTAACCGAGAACAACGTCTATTCAAATCAAGCGCACTAGTAGTGAACATTTTAACGCACTATTTAATGAATGGCGTCGAAAAGCCGTAGCGCAAGCGCAAAATTTCGGTGAATAGCGAAATTTCAACTTTCTCACGTCACACCGAGATTTCTCTCTATTCTAATCAGGTTATCGATGCTACTCACTGCAGACGCGCAAGATTCTTCGTGCTGAAGGGCGCGGCCTAGAACGAGATCCTATCCTTTCCCGCCACTCGCCTACTCCACCGAACTAATATCTATGTAGTTCTTTCGCTTATTTCTTTCTATTGTATAATTTTTAACCCACCTTTTTCATCATCGCTCATACAGTTCATGTAGTGTTACCAAACCCATGAAGAACTTAAATCAGCATAGTTTTAATGCTTCAAACATCCCACTTTCATATCCCAGACAGTTGTCTTCAAAGTTGTCCTGGCTTTAAAGCAACTGGCAAAATATGAAAAACACTATAGAACTTCTGTTTCATCAGAGTACTTTTTAAGAGTACAATTACAAAATTTCTATGTTTGGCTTCCACGCTGTTTCAACGATTGCGTGCTGTGAAGTTGGCTAAATCCTCCCAACGGTTTACGGCCTCATCTTGGTTGGGAAGTGTTCTTGGGTGTCGGACTGCGATATACAGTGGGAGATTCATCACCCTGGTAGGGTTTTCTAAGCTGAGAAGGTGTCCAGCGTTTCCATCAGAAAGTCTAGCTAAGAGTAAACCATTACCAGGATCCACCACCGTCCTGGTATCAAAGTCGCATGGTGATAAATCTCCCTCTGATCCACAAGGACTGCGATTGCCCGTGGTGGTGAAGACCTGGAGCAGACTTTGGCCAGGCTGACTTCGGGACTCCAGAGAACCATAATGGCTTAACCAGCAAATCTCTGAAAATTGGAGAATATTCTGGAGCCCGTACAACCTGTGAGGACGGGCCATTCAAGTACCAAGTATCAAAAAGGTGGCTAAATTGGTATGATAAACTTAGCTTAACTCACAATAAAGGAATAAGCTTTCTTTAATTATAGGTCGCTTCTCTTTTGACTCTTTGATCACTAAATACAACAGTAGATGACTACGAACAGGTTGCACGAAACTATGTCGACCTCTTTCCCTAGATATTAAGACTAAAATTCAGATGATGCCCCTATGGGGTATTATAGTGATCGGTGCATACACAAGTGCTTCGTTTTGTGGTAAAAGTGGAGTACCATTCAGCGTGGAGGTGTCACCCTCTGGTTTGTTCCATTCATTATTTTTACTACCTCGTTTATTATATCAGAAACGACTAATTAATAATTTTCGTCGAATGCTAACTGTTAACCTTTTTATTTATTGCCTATTCTTTTTAACGGCAGGGTATGATGCGAACTATAACTATTATAATTCTGAGATATTTGCAAAACTCCGAACCGCAGGTGTCTGCGGTGGGGAACGAACCACACGTATGGTGTTCACCATACGAGTCCCCGGAAAGGACAATAGCGCGTTCTTTCCCCACAACAGACACCTGCGGTCCGGAGTTTTGCAAATATCTCAGCATTATAATAGCTAACTGTAATTGCAGGAGCGCCAGTACTTGGCTGCGCGCAGCCCTCATGTGTTGCCCAACCGACAGATGATTTCGATGATAGCGTATTCAATACTGACCTCTCGGGACAAGTCGACGGCTTCTTTCGTGAAGGCGATAGAGGGCGTCAAGGCTTTCTCCAAACTAATAAGCTTCGAGCTGTGCGTTTTTCAACCCTGTATCATTTTTCTTTTACTCATGTAAGGCTCTGCAACCTTCGCAGATTCTCGTATGTCTTTAACTACCGATTCCCAGCGCTTTCGCTGTTTTTTTCTGTGTAGAAGGACAAATTTTCTCAATGTTCCAATACTATAACGTCTTTATTATATTGTATAGAACTGTTCTGGTGATTTTGACCAATTGGCCTGTTCTCGAAAAAACCAGTGGATTGGTGGTATCGAGTACATAGATCATCCTCGGCAACCGTAAGTTCATCAACCGCTTTCGGGTTTTTAAAAATGCTGTCAACCTAAGTATCTTGCAGAGTTGCACTAATGACAATATTTAGGTTGTTACTACAGTGCTGTACATTCGAAGGGCTACGATTTTCACAAATTGTCGGAGTTACACCAATAAGACCCGGTGAGGCGGTAACTGGAGGCGAGGTAGTTCGTGATGGACGTCAAATTTCCTTCGATGTCATTGCTAACATCCGGAAGATCGTTGATTACAACGATCACAAAATGTTTGTACATTACTCTTTTTGTCCCTTAAAGATGACAGAATGCTGCCACCTTCGAGTTTCCACCAATGTGGGGCACTACAGGTTTCGTACGATAAATGTTGACACCATCGAACGATGTTTCACTTTTGTCTAAAGAATATTCATGTCAAGCCGATAGTGATCGAAAGCGAAAATCGGGCAGATAGGAAAGGGTGAAAAAACAAACTAGGCCACAGCGGGTACGAAGTCCATTTCCACACCGGTAGTTTCCACAGTGGTGAGCGAGAGAAAAGCAGAACAAGTGTGACAGTTAATAAAAAATGCGATACAATCTCAGTATTCAAGTTCACAGCAACCCATAGTCGTTTAATATCATTTCATAGTACAGCAATTTTACAGCATCATGGACCAATGTGAGCACATATTTTTTCTTTTAATGAAATGAGAGATAAATAGGAAAAAGCTCGTTTAAAACGCAAGATAACAAGTGCTATTAAACTCCTTCCACGTCCGCATTTTTTTCATTAGAGATGCTGGTTATAAACCTTCATCCAGCATGAGATCTCGAACTGGTTTCTCGCGAGGTTAAGTGGCTTTTCCCACCCATTCGCAATACGGATTGGACTCATATCAAAACCAATCGTGCAGTTTCCGCCTGGAAAACAAGTGAATGCAATGAGCTGGGATATCAACTGCACTTCATCGGTTTTGCATCATGTAAATACATTTATCCGTATCTGTACAAAATATAGATGAACTTGCGTTTATGACAATTGTTTCCTCTGTATCAAAACCGGCAAAACTCTGCAGTCAAATGATTGCGTGGTACATGGAACATGGTTTGGCTTAGAACAAATATTATTCACACTTAATGTGACAGGTTAGCAAGCTAAATATAAGCACTATACCGTAAAAATATACACTAAGCATAAAAGGATTTGTACACCAAATATGGTACTATTTGCGTCTGTCGAACGGTCGAACTATGCGGTTCTGGTATGGTAGTGGTGAAAGTGAAGAGTTTATAGCCACTCGCTGGAATTACTCGGTGACTAGTGAGATAACGAGTGGTACAGGTGACAAGTGGTACATCATAGGAAAATGTCCAACATACTTTTGATAGTTGTCTATTATTTTGCAGCATTTCTTATGAGGTCGCCGTGAGAAGAATGAACTGCTTACCAGATCCGCCTGAAATAGAAATCACTGGTAAATATTACAATCCGGTTCTCTTCTCTGTTTACATCTGCCACAATTTTTATGATTAAAAACAGCATAGAACACCGGTTACTGTAGCGCAAGGGTATTTTTCACCGCTACATAAAAACGTCTTAAAAGTTCTAATTTGAAAGCTGTTTGTTTAGGGTGTAAAAATTTCATTATGAAATTTTGCTGCCTTTTCAGTGGATAACAATGTAGAAGAGGAATTGCTGCGAGTGCTGGAGAACGCTAACAATGGGTCAACCCCACTACGTCATGAAGGTCATGCCCACATGGAAAAAGAGAAAGATCCTACGTTAGCGTGCGATCAAACACCCACAAAAAAATGTTGGAAGAAGAACAGGTGAACTATACCTCTTTTTAATAATTCAAAAGATCGACTTTCTATAAATCTCGACATAGATAGCTGTTACATTTGTTTATACAATTTTACAAACTGATCATCTTAAGCTGATGCGAGGTTGGTAAGGTCTTTGTTGTCGTTGTCGTTATTGTTGTCTCTGCTGTTGCTGTTATTGGTCGATGGCTGATGTTTCGGCGATTTCGCCTTCCTCAGAGCCGTGCTGTTACGAGTGGGACTCGCTCCAGCGCGGCTCTGAGGAAGGCGAAATCGCCGAAACATCAGCCATCGACCAATAACAGCAACAGCAGAGACAACAATAACGACAACGACAACAAAGACCTTACCAACCTCGCATCAGCTTAAGAAGATCACTTTATAAGATCATATAAGTATACCTCTTTTTCTAATCTGGCAAATTTTTCAGTTTGATCAGCTGATGACACTGATGATATATCGGAGAAATCGCATTGAGCCATTAATAACATATGATCGCTGCCATACCGCCACTTTTTTCTGCTGAACGATTAAAACTCACCACGATGCTGAGATGTTTGCCAAACTCCAGACCGCAGCTGTCTGCGGTGGTGATCGAAGACGCTACTACCCTTTACGGAGGCTACCACCACAGCACCAAGCGGATCCTTCGTTTCGCCTTTCTTTCAGCTGTGTTTATGAAGTATTAGCATGGTGCAGTGGTAAACGCATTAGCTCCAGGAAAGACGAATAGCGTGTTCCGTCCCCACCGCAAACACCTGCGGTCCGGAGCTTTGCAAACATCTCAGCATCATAGTAGTTATATTTCACAGCACACCCTGCCATGAAAAAAGAAGAAGCCATAAATAAAAGAGATTAAAACTCAGTCCTACCACCATAATCGTGAACAATGTGCCGAGTTGTGAGCAATTGTTGAATGAATGAGTAAAATCAATCAGCAATATTTTCTAAGAGTTATAAGAATTTATCTTTAGGAACAACGAACGTAACTTCAAAAAACACGATCGTCCAGAAAGCTTCGGTGCGCCAATCTTTAATCCCGTTTCTGAACGCGATCAATACACGCGTTATTCACGCCGTTTCATTATTGGTCCCAGTACAAATCTTCCAGTGTTGCAAATCGATGTGACATCCACGACGACACCTGCTCCTCTTTTTGCTTTTCATTCATTTACACCATTTACCTTTCCCACTCTACCACCTTTACCACAACTGAATATATTTTCTGCATTAACTCCACAACCTAGTGAATTGAAACCATTATCTGTCGCACCACAAGCTCAAGCTTTTGGTGTTCCACAAGCAAATCTTACTCCTCTATCACCTCCATCTACTTTTCAACAACTCCATCCGTTCATGCCATATCAACTTCATCAGTCGATGTTTGATCCGTTCATGTTACGTCATTTCTCTATGGGCAGTGCTCAACTGAACTCGCCGCTACATAATCCGTTTGCCTTAACAACACAACACCAAGACCAGCTACCATTTGCTCCAGTACAACTCAAAAGCAACTCTTTTACACAACAGGTACGCTCTTTCAGGCATAGAATTCTTTATCCATCTATTGACGACAAACTTCTTCTGTTCAATGGAAATTTTCGCAAGTTGTGATATGTGTAAAATTAAATTGGTTTAATTCAGTGAGATAACCTCAGTAAGCTCAAACCACTTAGGTCTACATAATCTACAATGATTCGACTAAGTGATAAGGGAAGTGTTGCGGATTCGACATAGAAAACGGTGTATTATGTCCTCGAATTGGTAGTACTGCTGTAATCTAAACAGTCCGAACAAATAGTGAATTGAAGCAGCCAGTTTAGTGCTCTACTCAAGATAGTGCAAATTTGAGATCCAACTCAGTTGAGTATCCAAGAAAAGGACTAATTCTCTACCAAACTGTCCATGTAGTTGCAACGGGTAAGCCAACTTGCGCTCTATCCTAACAGCTCAGCCATTAATAAAGAAATGACTTGCGGGGAATGCGACATGAACATTACTCTGACTTCATTAACAAATTCAACCCAAAAGAGGACTGAGTAGAGAAGTTGGTCTAAAGTTATATTCTAATTTTTGATAGTATACCTGCGGTCCGGAGTTTTACAAGTACCTCAGCATCGTTGTGGTTGTATTTCGCACAGTACCCTTCCGTAAAAATTGTAGTAGGCAGGAAATAAAAAGTAAACATTGTGATCATGGTAGTGCTTTTAGGTAGTGCCTGCAGAGACAAGTAACGCGGATAAGGAGCAAAAATTCGGCTTTGATGATAAATCAGAGCTAGTCGAACCATCTGTCCCACCAACACAACAACAACTTGGGAAACTTTTCCAACCACCACCATTTCCTGCTCTCAACTTCGCTATCCAAAACTTCCAAGCTCAGGGATAACATTGATGCAATTATAAGCAAGAAGCACAGTAATCTTTAAAGACGTCTTTCGAGGCAGTATGACTATATATTACTGTATTTCATTAGACCGCTAGTCACTGTATAGACAAGCCAATTGCGTTGTAGTTTTGTCTTACGAAGAATGAGAACACCTAGGAATATACGCCTTCTAGCCTTTCTAAGGCTTTTACTGCAATCGTTTCATACAAATACAGAGGCTTACGATGCATTTTTTTTTCTCAGGGGTAGTGCTATTCGTTGTTATGTGTATGTGCGGCTTCTTAAAGATTCTATGTGTTATTGGCATGTGTTCGTGTGCGTACTGGTTTTGAAGTTTTATACCATTTTGTTAGGTTCATTTTTCAATTGTTGTATTTTTGCATAAGCAATATGTTTCATGCATTTTCAGTGCGTTTTCATTCTTTGAAATGCATGAACTTTTTGAGTACATTCATAAGATTACAAGATATAAGAGCCGTGAAAGAAAAGCTTTATTAAATCCTAGTGATGAGCACGTGCTTTATGAACAATGAGCCAATCTGTTGAAGTCCCTCAATGATTCGTCACCTCGTCATAACCAAAGACTGTACCTAACTTTCAAGTCAGTCCTGGTGTTCAAGAAGAGAAATTTCTCTGCCTCTTCACCGGCGGCATCTCTAGCCTGCATACGCTTTTCAGCGACAATAGTCTCTTTCTGATAGTTAGGTGAAGAGAATAACTTTCTTCATCCCACGCTTGATATACCACCTGTGTAGGATAAGCTACCGAATGAATACAAAAAATGCAGTGAAAAAGGCGTTGTGCACCAATATACACCGCTGATATACATAAAATGCAATGCTGCTGGCGATGTATTTGTTAGAAATGCTATACCAGGCATACTATAAATGTAGTGAATATATCACTGTGTTGGAACACTCGAAGCGGTTACTATTTATCTGAGATGTTCAATTTATTATTTGATGCAATTGCGACTATATTCGTCCGCACAACCCGCAACCATTGAACTCGTGATAACAAAGAAAGTTTAAGAGATACATAGCCTCGCAACAAGCCATTATGAAAATTTTGTGATTAGCAACGTTCAAGATGTCTTGGAGTCAGAAGTCGTAACTCACTTTGATTGCGCATTGTAGCACATTTGTTGGAGAATATGACGACCACTTCCTTTAAATCATATGAAATGAGTTGTTGAACGAACAGTCAGAGGAAAATTTACCTCAGAGAAAGCTAAAGGAAAGTAGATTTCATTTTCGAACATTCAATTTAACCTATCGGAAGACGTCACAAAGTGATATGGAATGCCAAGTAATAGAAACA